TTATGACCAAATGACTAGAGATACAATGCCCTTAGCCAGTTATTGTTATAAATACAAACTCTAAATATTCATTATGAATTTCTATATATATTTGTTTATCTGTTTTCAGCTATATCATGGTGGCCTGTAAGTAATTTGACCAAAACAACCCAGTGATAGATATTATGAACAATTGAAGGGTTGTTGTTCATCGCCGCACTCAGCAGTATTCTTGCTATATGGCGGCAGTCTGTAAATATTCAAGCCTGGACCAGATAATCCAGTGATCAACAGCATGAGCATCGATTTACACAATTGGGATACAATGACATGTGTCAACCAAGTCAGCGAGCCTGACCACCTGATCCTGTTAGTCGCCTCCTATGACAAGCATCCGTCATATTATGAACAACGTAAGGGCACAAAGTTACCAAGTCAAACACCTGATCCATTAAGCCACCTCTTATTACCCGACTAACGAGAGTGGTCAGGCTTGCTGACTTGGTTCACACATGTCATCGGTTCCCAATTACGCAGATTGATGCTCATGCTGTTGATCACTGGATTGTCTGGTCCAGACTCGATTATTTACAGACCTCCGCCATATAGCTGGAATATTGCTGAGTCCGGCGTAAAACTAAACTCACTCACTCACCTCTTATTACCGGCACAGTACACCATTGGCCCACTATCCTAATTTTGCAGTAATGTTTTTTCCTTCAAAATATAGAATGTCTTTTTGTTATGCTGATTTACATGAATATCTTTTCAGATATTAGCCAGTACTGGATATCATCTTGTGTTAAAGATAAAGACAAAATATTATATGTCAACTTCTTCTTTATTCTATAGTGTATAGAATAAAGAAGAAGTTGACATCCACAGTATTTTGTCCTATACTTGAATACCAACTTCTATAAGCCTCTCAGGAATCTCATCTTGTGTTAAAATTCAAATGTTCAGGGGTTTTTCCCAAATTTGTCGGATCTGCACCAAAAAAAGAATAATGGATTACGAGAACTCATATAATCTTATGCCAGACCAACATCCAAACACTGCTGCATTAACATTTATTTTTCTACATTTATGATGCAAATGAAAAATTCATCTTCGTGAACTAAACGGAAAAAAAATCTTCAACATCAATACAAAACTGCCAGTAAAACAAACCTATGAGAAGAAAATGAAATTTCACTTCTTTATCACTGAAATGGCTAGTGACATGCATATAACTTAAAGAAAACCCAATTTCTTCTTATCATCTTGCTCTATAGATAATCTAATGTGCATTAACTAATTAACTATAGCAGCATGAAGAAAATATGTTCCTGATTTCTTTTGAGTAGTATTTATCACTTCTTGTTAGGATCACTGGGGAAAAACTGACTGGCAACACAAGGTAATGAATCATGTTGATATTTTATTTGTACATACATTTTTTTAATTAAACAGATAAAATAATATTACACTGCAGTGCCCCTGCTAAACTGAATCCTGATCATTATAGCTATTTTCACGGTACCCCCAGCAGAGAGGCAATATTAAGCCAAACAGTTAAGGATTTTACTGGGGACTTAATGGTAGCATCTGAGTTAACAAGCTTTCACTTTACTTATAAAGAGTTAATTGAAGGGACTAGGGCAGGTAATTGGGGAGGTTTTGGAGCCCCACAATATTTCTCAACCTTTATTTGCAGTCCGGCTGAATGGATAATACCAAGATCTAATCCAGAGCCTCCATACACAATCAATGAACCTGTATGCCAGTATATTTAAACTCACCACCATCAAGAAAATCTGAGGGCTCCGTGCCGTCAATCTGGAGAGAACAACACAGCAATGCCGACACACACATCTGCACTCCGCGCACCAGCCTTTTCACACTTACTCAACTACAACAGGAACTACGTAAGACAGAATCAAACTCAAACTTAAATTGCAGGTATTTCCGGGACACTGAAATATACTCAACTAATACTGCTACAATTTGTCAAGTCTAGCAGGTCTGTGTATAAGGCTGGGGAGCCAGCGTGTTAGGCCTGTGTGTGTATGTGAGCAGATCTCAGGGTCAAGCTTTTAAGCCTTGTCTTCCTTTGATGGGGAATTCCCTCCGAGACTGCATTGAACAAGCATTGTTTGAAGTGGACTCATGGCAAGATTTGAGGCTCACACAAAATGCCAGGTGAAAATGAGAACTCCAAATACAATATCTCCTGTCAAATTGTTCTGCTTTGTTACATAAATGGGGTGATATTAATTTTTGGCACAACAAAATTGTTATCTCCTGAAATAATTAATTTTTTCGAAAATGGATATTTGGAAAGACACCATCTGCTCTTTGAAAACTACAGGCAAGGTTTCCATCTACAAAATTATCATAAAGCCAAATCTTATCTGTTCTCTTTATTTTCTGTCAAACACATCAAATTTCATATTTCAATGAAAAATGATGCCTTATCATAGTGAGGTTGTGAAACATTTAAATCACTTTGGACATGAACTTACAAAAAGCCATATCTGTTAACATTTAAACATTTCTGGCATTAAATACAAATCATGCATTTTTTCCAAACTTCTAGTCCAAAATCAATATTTAATTACAGTGTTCACCACTCCCCCAGTTACTTAAAAAGAGACAAATATTATGTCAAAATCAGCGAAGGAAATCTCTCTGTGCATTACAAAGTTTATCTTTGGAGTTGCAGAGGAACCACAGAGCAGAGCAGTGGGGCAGAATTAATTAAGGTCTGGCTGAAGCAAACTGCACTAATTAGGGGCTTCAAGGTAAACATGTGTTACAAACAGTTCATTTGCAGTTGTTCAACTCCAGCTCAGTATTCACAACAGCTGGATATGGGAAAAATGTTTGAACTGGAGATATACTTTGTGTTGATGATGAACGCACTTGTACAAGCTGATTGAGATTACTCTTGTCAGCTTGTTTCTTCCATTTCACTTATTTTCAGCTTTCCACAAATTAATTATTTTCATTAATCAAACTGGTCATATTTTCAGGATTGAATTCATCTTGCAATTCATCTTGATGTAATTTAAATTGGGAGAAATATGAGACATGGGTGAAATGGAAAAAAATCCTCAACTTCTTTGGCTGAAGTTGAAAAGTTGATGATAGAGTGGAATATGTAAGATTGGTCACTTATTAGCCAAAGTGAGTCACCACAACATGGCCAGATTTATTTAGTTACCCAAAACGGAATGCTGAGTCTGGTTTTCACAAAAGAAAAATGATCAGAGCCTAACAGCTCTGCAGCCCATCTGAAACAATGGCGACAATGTTTAAAGTTGGATGAGAAGTCTTTGAGCACTTTTTAGAGATGCCAAAGCTGGATCGTTTTAGTTCAACATACCTTGTAGTATCAGAGGAGATGCCTAAAGTGTCAAAAAAGATGGACAGAGAACTTGCAATGATCAATCTTACTTTCAATGAGCTTAAAAAATGTGGTGCATGTACCAAGCTGACTTTGGGTATTCATTAAATTATGAACCATTGTGGAGGGCGGGCATAACCATTAAGTCTCTTTGAGGATCCTCTTTGGAGGTTCCTTTGCTAGGAAGCTACATGATGAGGATGGCAATGTTGTTCACTGGAGCAGTCATGTATACATATTACATCACTGCTGCCTCTTGCTGTACAAGTCTGGACCAGGCAAACCAATGCTACACAGTTGGCAGTGCAAACAACGATAAATGCCATGAGTGTAAAACGCCCTAAACAGCGAGGTTGCACTGTGTTATAAAGGTGATTGTTAGTGACTTTTTGACAATTCTATTGTTAAACACATCTTCAGTGATGTTGCATGCATTGAGTATTGCATGTCTTCCACAATGTAGCTTGCTTTATAGCTCATGACTAATGCGAATCATGGTGAGTTTAGTGAGTTTAGTTTTACGCCGCACTCCGCAATATTCCAGCTATATGGCAGTGAATCATGGCTAGGAAATCCATCAGTTATGCCGCTATACATTTCCTTACTATCATTTGGAAATGTAACAGTGAGGTCATTTAGGTTTCATAACATGGAACATGCCCGCTTGGTCTTTCTAACAAACCCATGAGCAGTAGTATGTGGATCAGTGTACGGCATCCAATGACAACACGTGTCTGCCAATAACATGGCAATGCCCCTCGCTGCTAAAGAAGAATGAAATATAACATATTTACTAGTTTTTATCTTTTGGTCACACCTTTTTTGTTATGTAGTTTTTAGTCATGGTCATTTCTCAGAATCTTCTCCTAACTCTGAAGGTATTTCAGGAATATAGTACATTTAAATGATGCAGATGCACATATCCACTGTCAGTATCAGTGTGTATTAGGGCTTGGACGAGTCCAAATTTTCTACCTGGCTACCCCACCCCTTATTACGCTACCCTACCCTAATACCCGTTATGTTAATTCTTGACATAAAATTTGTAACAAATGGAAATAAATTCTTCAGCTCGGAGGCTAAAATTGGATGCAACATTTTATGAGACATCGAGTTTATATAAGTTTGAAAAGTGGTCAAAATGTCATGGTGACCTTGAAAATATGGTCAAGGTCTCCCAAATCAACTGGTGTCTGCATAATCCCCCAATGTAGGCTGTCACCAAATTAGAAGACATTGGGTACAACAGTGCATGAGATATCGCGTTAACAAGAATTGGGATGTACGTACGCTGCTGAATACATAGTCCCCCGTTCCGTGTTGCGGCGGGGGAAACTAACGTAACCAGGTCACTCTGGGCACTAGATCTCCTCTGTGGTTATGGTCAATGGCCTATGTAGAATTCAACAACATTTCACACCGTCAACTGTTACCAATAATGTTAACTGCTAATAATAATGTTCTCTCTGTTGGAATGGAACAGTTGAACATAAACAAATAGCAGTCCTGTCTCAAAGGACACAACCTACCCATAGAGCTGTCAGATCTTCCCCAATCCTACCAGTTCCTGCTGTTCACAAACATCAACTGAACACAGACAAATAGCAGCGCCATCTCGCAGGACACAACTTACCCAAAGAGCATGCTGGTCCTCCCTGAACCCGGCCATGTTCTCCCGTTGTTGGCGCAGGTCACGCTCTGCCTTCCTCCACTGCAACATTAGATATTTTACACATGCATGACTGTAAAGGACTTTGTAAACCTTCATCCATATGACACTAAACATGTGAATATTGGTTTAAATCACAATACACAGGTAGGAAATCAACCCTGATTTTCATGCCAGAAGAAATCAATTAACCACTATCTACCACACTAACTCCCACAGAACTTTACAATGATATACATCAGATATAACCCATCCGTGATTCAAATACTCTCTGTATCTTCTTGCGTTTGACAAATCATATACCTACCTATCAGTTATACAGTTAATTATGACAAAATGCTGGTTTCCAAGAAGGCAAAACTTACATCTTGAGTATGTATAATCAATCTCATGGTCTTTCTTCAGTGAGTGAGTTTAGTTTTACGCCGCACTCAGCAATATTTTAGTTATATGGCAGCGGTCTGTAAATAATTGAGTCTGGACCAGACAATCCAGTGATCAACAGCATAAGCAACAATCTATGCAACTGGGATACGATGACATGTGTCAACAAAGTCAGCGAGCCTGACCACCTGATTCCGTTAGTCACCTCTTACGACAAGCATGGGTTAATGAAGATCAATTCTAACCCAGATCTTCAGGTGTACTTTCTTCAGTAAGCCTACTTCAGTAAGACATAAGACTTATCAGTACCATCATTATAGAAATATTATATTCCAAAACCACCCAAGTAATAGTAATATTTCAGCAATATCACGGCTGGGAAACCATAAATAAGTTTCACACACTGAACTCATTCTGGGAATCAAATCTGGGCCTTCAGCATGATCAGCAAAAGTTTTAATGACAAGACTACCCCACCGTCTCTCACTCCAATATATTCAAAGATAGGTAACACTACCTTGGCTACAGCTCGGTCTCGGGCAAGGATGACAGCTGTCATGTCTTTCTTCATGATTTCTCTCTCTGCCAACATCTTGTCAATCTGACTCAGAAGACGACAGCTCACCTGATCCACTGACACACTGTTCCTAGGACTGGAAGTTGTGGAGGATGTCTGAAACATATAGTTCTGTCTGGTGCATGTCTAAAACATTACGTTCTGTCTAGTGCATGTCTGAAACATTACGTTCTGTCTAGTGCATGTCAGAAACATTTAGTTCTGCACAATATGTCTGAAACATATAGTTCTGCACAACATTTAGTTGTGTCTAGCTCTCTAGAGCATGTGTGAAACATTTAGTTCTGTCTAGAGCATGTGTGAAACATTTAGTTCTGTCTAGAGCATGTATGAAACATTTAGTTCTGTCTAGAGCATGTGTGAAACATTTAGTTCTGTCTAGAGCATGTGTGAAACATTTAGTTCTGTCTAGAGCATGTGTGAAACATTTAGTTCTGTCTAGAGCATGTATGAAACATTTAGTTCTGTCTAGAGCATGTATGAAACATTTAGCATCGTACAGCATGTATGAAACATTTATTTCCATGATGACCATGGGTGAAACATTTATTTCTGTGTTGTGTGACCATGTCTGTCTACAGGACACATGTTACTTCTATGTATCTGTCTACAGGACACATTTTACTTCTGTGTCTGTCTACAGGACACATTTTACTTCTGTGTGTCTGTCTACAGGACACATTTTACTTCTGTGTGTCTGTCTACAGGACACATTTTACTTCTGTGTGTCTATCTACAGGACACATGTTACTTCTATGTATCTGTCTACAGGACACATTTTACTTCTATGTATCTGTCTACAGGACACATTTTACTTCTGTGTATCTGTCTATAGGACACATTTTACTTCTGTGTACCTAAGGACACATTTCACTTTTGTCTGTCTATAAGACACATTTTACTTCTGTGTGCCTGTTTAAGGACACATTTTACTTTTGTCAGTCTTTCTATAAGACATATTTTACTTATGTGTATCTGTCTATAGGACACATCTCCATATAGAGGAGTTATTACAGACGCATTAGACACAAACATGCACAGTTTGAAAATAAAAATTTCACATTTCACTATGTATCGATACAAATCAATGGTATTAGAGATATTCATGTATATGGCAACAAACCATAATTATTATTTACTTGTGGTTGAAAAAATCACAGTTTAGTTTACGACTTGGATCAGTGTCAATAACATGTGAGTTGCATTACATGCTATAACAGCACTCAGTGTAATGCCTCAAATGTACCAAGATCAAGATCTCATGATTATTCAAATACGTCTAAACTAAAAGGGACACAGGTTCGTACCCCACCTTTTAAAGCCATTCCTGACTGATCACAGAACCCTAGGAAAGTATTTGTAATGTATAGTTTATATGAACTGCAAATAACACCCAATATATTTTCATCTCATGGTTTAATTTAACAATTTGGATTTTCCTAGGATTGACGAAAATACACATAGATCTTGTTAGCTAGCTGCAATGTTTATGAGGAGCACATGCATGCAGCAAGTGTTTAGGTCTATAGACGTCTATGCAGGAAATAAATACATACTTAAAAATCCTGATAACCTTAAATCTTCAAACAGAATTAACTCAGGCTATCATATACATACTATGCTACTAAACTTCTGATTGAGATAGTTTTGATTATTTCTTGATTCACTCCATCAAATGTTGAGCATTACCATGACTATTCAAAGATTTTGTTCAATAAGAATAAGTAAAGGCAATGTTTTCACATACATGTACATGTACCTTATTATCAAGACAGAGTTCATGATGTAAAGATATTCATCCAAGCAAGAGATAAATTTACTTTTATGATCTGCTTCCTAAATTAAACGCAGCCTGTCCTTCAAACGCCTCTGCTTCGAACGTATTCAACAGCAGCTTGATCATTTTCAGATGTCCGTCTTACAAAGGCTGACCCAAATATGCCCATTGTGCGTATGTTTACTCATTAATATTCTACAATTAAGTGGAGGTTGTTGAGATTTTATACTTTCTCTGTGGATGTCAGTCGTCGTAGACATGATGATTTCAACAAACAATCCATCGGTACTTTAATTTGGGCAGAGAGACGGACAGCTTTGACGGGCCATAGAAGACCCTCATCGGTTTGGACTGGACTCTTGGATTAATTCAACTTGAGAAGGGTCAGTCAAATCAGTTTGAGCGGAATGATTTGACAGAGTAAACAGAGATGTCTGTCACTGTCGCACAACCCTATTTCCACTGCCTGAGTAAAAGGGTCAGAGGTCAGTGCGAAACTCTATGTTCCTACCAATTAAATGTGTTGATTCGGTGGCAAAATGACGGAGGCCGAAGGAGCCTCTTTCCGGAGCCAAAATGGGCGCTACAAAGAGGCGACGACCCTCCAATATTTGCCCAAGTGCTGCTGGACTTCCCGAGGTAGAGTGGTCTAGGGGAAACTGACCACGAGTGGAAATGAAGTCTCAATGCCAGAGGTAGAGATGTTTGCTTTCTTTCCACGCCAGCAGAATTAAGAGAGTAAACATTCATTTATTTCCAGCTCAGCTGACTTGATCTATATGGCTGTCCATTATGCCTCTCATTAGTCACCGACTCCCAGTTTTTCTCTCCTAGCGAGACACTGCCTTTTTATTCAAACTTCTTTCACTGATTTTCTTTTCAAAAGCTCATGTCCCAGACAGATTGAGATTTCTTAAGTCGCTCTCAACTCCAGTCAGTTTCAATTTCTCTTACAATGACAAAAAGCTCTCACTATCATGAAGGATAAGTCCCTTAAATCTTCAAATTCTCTCTGATAGAAGCCTGAAATGTTTACCTGGATGCAAATGAGAAATGAAAATAGCTTATTTTACATCAGCAATGGTCACTGCTTCAAAAGGAAGGAGGCCAGGAACATTATCAACCCCTGGATCAGCCGACACACACAGACACATTGGTGAGACTTAGAGCCATCTTTCGTTGTCGATAGGTTTCTTGGTATTTCAAGATCTCTCATCTTTGTATAGTCAAAACCATACGTTACTGTCACTTCTAGTGACAGTTGTTGTATTGAATACTTTTTTTTCTTTTTGAGATGCTTCTAATAGTTTGATGGTATAGATAGATCACATTCTATTCAGCTTTAAAAGTGACTAAATTTCACTCAAGATTTATGACATTTTCTGTATTGTTCACTGAGAGCAGCCACACAGAATGAACAAGTCAATTACCGAATCACATTAAACAGTCACACAAGTAAGTTGCTAAATGACCCTTGTCATGTTATGTCTCCCCCAAATATTCACATTTTCTTCAAAAAGTGCTTTAATTTTTAAATAGAAATGTTCATGACTCATACTTTTTGCAGATCTGAAGATGTCCCAGTCCTATAACTCTTGTGGTTAAGTGCCCCAAGTCAATACAGTTGAAGACAACTATCACATCAGATATCATTCGCAAAGTGAGTGAATGCAAATATCCTTGAGCCAAGCAGAAATCAAATAAAAATTTAAAAATATCAGATTTCAATAAAATATGTCCCAACATAAGCAGAGTCTACAACTCATGAAAAGTAGTCATATTCAAGAGACCACTCTGAAAATATGTAACAAGAACTGATTTCAGCTTGAAATTTAAGATGCTTTTACCATCTAAATAAATCCTTTCAAATCCGACATTCTCTGCCTCAAGTGCAAATTTATGTTCACTAAGCATATTTATCTAAAACACAAATTCTAAATTCCACTCAATGCTTATAATCTGAGTGAATGGCATGTCTTTTATGTTACTCTTTTTCATATATATTGCTCAAAAGAAGTTACGAATCCCCTGATGCTTTCATATAATTATGATGAGAAAATTGGGTGATCCTTAACGTCTTTTGAGTAGTATCAAGGTAAGAACATGACACAGGACAAAACATATATGCTTCACCCACTGTAATAAGAGTCATCAGAAGATGACATATCTCACCAGCCAAAAATTCGAAAGTACAAGTCATCGGATTGTTACAGCAAGTCCTACAAGAGGAATTTGTCCACATTGATAAGATTACCAGCACTGCTATCTTATCTGCCTGTTCATATACAAGAGTAGTTATTGACCTATTGAAATAATACCAGAACAGGGACTTGGAACTTTGAATTTTATGTCAGGTCCTTATCTGCAAAGTTTTGAGTTGGTGGATGTCAGACAATACTTCAAATTATAAATGAGTGAGTGTGAGACGCCGCTTTTAGCAATATTCTAGCAATATCACGGCGGGGGACACCAGAAATGGGCTTCACACATATTGTACCCATGTGAGGAATCGAACCCTGGTCTTCGGCATGACGAGCGGACACTTTAACCACTAGGCCACCCCACCGCCCTGACAGCCTAAAGTGATGCAAGTCTTAGCCATGTACCACTTTGTTCAACCCACAGGCATGCCGCTGTACCGATGAAAAAAGGAAAATAATAGCAGCAAATCTTGGATTTCCTACCTGCATGAACATGAAATCTTGGTCACTTTCATCCGACTCTCCAGACTGTTCACTAGCTGCCTCTGACCTGTGACAAAAGAACATATGCTGAACATCTGGTGAGTTGTGATGTTATCCATACATGATTGTGGATGGGTCAGCAAACCTCAGTGAGTGGCTCCGATAGTGTTTACGATCATTTCACTTACATAGCGACATGCATGTATTCGCGGGATTAGCTGCCGGTAGTCATCAAGATTTCTATTGGTTTTATAGTACTATCCCAGATATTGTGCCACAGTTTAACATGAATACCACACTCAGACACATCATACTGGCTGCTCTCAGCTGGTCAGTCTATGTTTTAACCCCTTAATGCTGTGTGTAGACCAGGAAACGACATTTGGTATGACACGGCAGGAAATGAAGCATCAAACTTCAGCCCTCTGGGTAGACACTATCCACTACACCACCGACGAGTCGACCAGATGGATCAGTGGCTGATAATGTTGTAATCATATGGCTGTATCACAGCAGCCTCTAGATCTAAACACGACCACGTTCAAAGAGATTTTAATGCTAAGGGACCGTTCATAATTTATGGCCAGGAGGGTGGGGTGGGGGTTGGGGGTTGGGGGTTGGGGGTTGGGTGATGATGATTCTTATGGAGAAGCATGTACCATATGAATGACCCCCTAAAATATATGTACAAAGTCATATGCATGTCATGTACAAAATCAATTACCAACCCCTCCCCCTTCCAATATTTTTTAAGCATAATTTTAAAATATTTTTATGTACAAAATTGCTGACCCCCCCTAGAAACATGTGTACAAAATTGCTGACCCCTCTACCTCCCCAGAACAAAATGGATGCCCCCCCCCAAAAAAAAAATTAATAAATAAAAAAAATTAAAAAATCATCATCACCGCCCCAGCCATAAATTATGAACGGTCCCTAAGGAGACTGTAACAGCCATTCTTTAACATTGGTTTACAATCCTTGTGATGCTAAGATTGTATTGAGTAAGGGAGGCCCTGAACCAAATAAACCAGTGGTTTGAGGGGATATTAGTATATAATTTGTGTACTACCGTATATGACCGACTATAAGTCGGATCCGACTATAAGTCGGGCCCCTTTCTCAACCCTCTAAATTCTTGCCAAAACCATGTAACTCAAGTATAAGTCGGCCCCTTTCCCCGTACGAATCGGTATCGCCGCCTCAATCTTCACGCTCGGACACGATGTTTAATGCGAAAATATATGCATGAATCATTTTTGTCACAGGTTCACAACACTGGCTGGTTGACAAGTGAACGACATCACATTCTGATTTGGTGACATGTGATTCTCTTTGATGATGACACCAAACATGCCATGTGAAGATCTGACAATAATTGGTGACATGTCATGCCGTTTGATGATAGAATATTACCAGTTATGTTTTCACATGTTTCTCAGCAAATTTTGAATTTTAATTATCATACAATAAATCATACTATGTGACCCTGGTGATAAGGCGTTCCATTACAGTGCCTTTAAAAACTTGACCATTCAAACATTTGGGATGTATCAAATCACAAAGAACATTTCATGTATGACTGATTTTGAAATCATTTCATAGGAATCCAAAGAATAGTTGAAAACTAAAACATAGTGTTGTTGAGAATACCATCGAACACAGTAGATGCATCACCACAAGGGACCAGATGACAATAAAGATGTTAATTTGGTCTGACAAGCTAAACATGGACACCAACCTGTCATATGCGCTGGCATCAAAGTACAAGGAGTTGTGAACATCTTCGTCAGTCTGGTCTGCAGGCCTCATCTGTTCCAGGAGTTTGTCTTCTCCATGTTTGTGGGCCTTCCGGAACTGTTTCACTAGCTCTGGAACATGTATATATGCACAGTGTAGCAGTAGTGCCAAAACCTTCAAATCTGCTCGCTAGAGCTTGTATTTAGGCATTCATTTTCACTTCATTGTTGTCTCAACGTACAGATATCAACTAGTTTATTTTATTAGTCCAGAAAATATGTTACAAGACTCAGGCTTTGGACTAGTGGCTACCTTTCTTCAGCAATATTATTATGTTCTTCACTGAAAATAATTAGTCAATATCTTTGACTCTCTCAGAAATGTAACACTTTCTTAAGGAAATACATGCTGCATTTTCAGTGTTACAGAAGTCTTAGTAAATTTTGGGTATATTTTTCAGGGTAAATTCTCACATGAAAATACTTCCTAACCTGTACACAAATTTTTTAAGCTATATCTTACAAGTGTTCAGGAAACCATCATGTGAAAATATGTACGGGTATATGAAAAAGACAGGTAGAATTTCTGTTGCCAACAATACAAAACGAGTATTTACACAAACCATTTTGGTTTGTTTTCAGGAAAATGAATATTCATATTGGCACTGGTCTAGACAATGGCAGCAATATATCAACTTGATAAAACGGCATTCCCTATTTGGTGAAGTCAAAGCCTAATAAATAGAAGTTTATTAGTGCTGATGTCAGGATATAAAAACATTACTGGTATGTAAACAAACCTGACTTTCATCAATTACCCTACCTCATCAATCTGATAGAGTGAGTAGGGATCCTTGTGTTGTTAGGTTGGCGAGAGTAATGAATGTCTTCATTTCCTTGTGAACATAAACATCACTAAATGCTAGCTGAATAACAATGGCAGCTCACAGAAATGAATGATAACTAACAAAATGAAAAAAGATCTTTTACAATGCCTTTCCTTTATAAACATGTTTAAATGAGTTCATTGGGTACAGATTTCTGGCTCTAAATATACTCATGGAAACGAATAAAGGAACACATGAAAGTACAAGTGTTCCTTTATTTATCTCCAGAATTTCACCAACAGTGCTATACATACCTTGTGAAGAAACCTGGAAACGAATAAAGGAACACATGAAAGTACAAATGTTCCTTTATTTATCTCCAGAATTTCACCAACAGTGCTATACATACCTTGTGAAGAAACCTGGAAACGAATAAAGGAACACATGAAAGTACAAATGTTCCTTTATTTATCTCCAGAATTTCACCAACAGTGCTATACATACCTTGTGAAGAAACCTGGAAACGAATAAAGGAACACATGAAAGTACAAATGTTCCTTTATTTATCTCCAGAATTTCACCAACAGTGCTATACATACCTTGTGAAGAAACCTGGAAGCGAATAAAGGGAACACATGAAAGTACAAATGTTCCTTTATTTATCTCCAGAATTTCACCAACAGTGCTATACATACCTTGTGAAGAAACCTGGAAACGAATAAAGGAACACATGAAAGTACAAATGTTCCTTTATTTATCTCCAGAATTTCACCAACAGTGCTATACATAACTTGTGAAGAAACCTGGAAACGAATAAAGGAACACATGAAAGTACAAGTGTTCCTTTATTTATCTCCAGAATTTCACCAACAGTGCTATACATAACTTGTGAAGAAACCTGGAAACGAATAAAGGAACACATGAAAGTACAAGTGTTCCTTTATTTATCTCCAGAATTTCACCAACAGTGCTATACATAACTTGTGAAGAAACCTGGAAACGAATAAAGGAACACATGAAAGTACAAGTGTTCCTTTATTTATCTCCAGAATTTCACCAACAGTGCTATACATAACTGGTGAAGAAACCTGGAAACGAATAAGGAACACATGAAAGTACAAGTGTTCCTTATATTTATCTCCAGAATTTCACCAACAGTGCTATACATAACTTGTGAAGAAACCTGGAAACGAATAAAGGAACACATGAAAGTACAAATGTTCCTTTATTTATCTCCAGAATTTCACCAACAGTGCTATACATAACTTGCGAAGAAACCTGGAAACGAATAAAGGAACACATGAAAGTACAAATGTTCCTTTGTTTATCTCCAGAATTTCACCAACAGTGCTATACATAACTTGTGAAGAAACCTGGAAACGAATAAAGGAACACTTGTACTTTCATGTGTTCCCTTATTTGTTTCCAAGAGTATATTAACCAAAAGAGTAAATTAATGGAAGGTGATAGTTGGGATATTTCTTCAATAAACCTACCACAGTAAAATATAATAATGCTTGGACTGTTTGATAATTAGTTTTACACAACAAATTTTTGTGAGGATGCAGGTCATAAACCAGTGTTCCTGACCTCACTGATGAACTTGATACGATGCCATTTGGAACTTTAAAGAGGAGTACTGCAGTTGGTTAGCCAAGTGGTTAAAACAACGGCTTGTCACGCAGAAGACCTGGGTTTGATTCTTCCCCTGGGTACAATATCTGATGGCCATAGCTATGGCTTGGGAGATGGGTTGATGTACTCTGTACGTTAGTTCATGCTCCCTGAACATGAAGGAGAACATAAAACATGACAGAGGATACATCAACATCTCACTAATTCAAAATACTAACTTGCCATTAGTATTTAGCACTCATAATAGTTCAGCAATTTGAAGGGGAACATATGAAACGTGTCTTACATTTTAGCTGGGTACAAAGAAAATAAATCTTTTTCATTTTCTGAGCATCTATACGAGATTGGGTAAACTAGGAAATTATGAAAAGATAGTGATTTCTGAGACATATCTGAGCAAATTCAACACTAACAGACACCATAAAGAGTTTGCTAGTAGGACAGGTCATGTTTACCAAACACCTGGTGTTATCACTGAGTTTCAGTCGTCCATTCATAGAATTGTGCTAGCTACTGCACCCTTTAACCAGTCTTCTGAGCCAGGGCTCCGTTTCACAAAGCTCTCGTAAGCCTAAGATCTCTCGTTTTCTCGTAGCATTCGTACTTCCTATACTGTAACATTGACTTACGATAGTTGTAGCGCTACGAGGGCTTTGCTAAACGGGGGCCCTGATTATTGAGACTGGTTATATTCTTGAATTGACACTTTATATTTAAGTTCCAGCAACGTAGAGGATGACACTGTTTTAGTGATACTGCAGACATTTCATACACGGAAATGAGTGACCGTCAATATATGCATCATCTTAAATCCTGCTATAAAAATGATAGACTCACCATAAATATTGCCATACCATGATAATCACTGAGTCATCAGTTGTGTGATGGGATCTAAAATGTTTCTCATTATTGATTTTGTTTTAAACTGCACTTTGGTTGCCACAGGTCAAATCTATTTTGAAAATTTTGTGGACCCCATCAAATTCCACTTGCAACATCGGCATTGACAGCTTGTTCTACATGTCTGTCCGCCTGCACGAGTGATCACAGTGCAACTTTTATGCTGTCCTCTCTAACTATTCACCAGGACAGGTATAAATGACTTTATATTTTGATGAATACCACAGCAAACACACCTTTAAAATTGACGAGGGAAATGGATTACAGGTAGTGCAATAAACGAGCTTTCAAGATATCAGCCTATGGGGTTCCACCTGGCTATAATGTGCATCTAGATTGCTATAAATTCACAGAGCTGCCATAATCCATATGAATCATGATGCTCTGTATGTCAATATTTGTCCAGTTAACGGTTATAGCTCTGAGCCATATAGGCGTAACACTGATATTTATGCCGCTTTGGCATTCCTGGTGAACTTTTGATAGGATTTCTCAGTCATTTACGCTAGGGAAATGATAAAATGTTTTTAGCTTTTACACTTTTTAGGAGAAGGAAAATTAAGTTGTCCCAGGGCTAAATAATTTCCCTTGTTATTGTAAGGTGCTCACAGAGAATGTTATGGCTTAAAGGAATCTGGCTCGTCTTTGTCTACCAATGTTCACAAGAAATCTATGTTTGACGATTACCCTCTCAACAACACAATAGTCCTTACCTTAATTTCATCTTGAACACAGGAAGAAGAGATAAAAAGACATGTCTGTAGTCAATGTTTCTGTTTCATTAGGATTAAAGAAACTACTTATGTTTGAAGTGTATGCAGGAATTAATCTAATATTCTAATGATAATACAAGTTTATATTTGATCAAGGCGCAGTAGATGTCTATTTCAGAGATAAACATTATGTTGTCCAAACAGAGCTAGGTTGATGTTTGGCCAGAATGTTTGACTGTGTTAAACTGAGTTTGGAACCAAACCAAGTATTAGTTCATAAATATTAACTTCTGCAGTGTATAAAATAGTTTCGAAATATGGCCTGTCGAAGGACTGGCTGTCCCAAAAAGTGACCAGTCCTGAACAAACACAGCCATGGCCAAAAACTAAAACAATGAAAAAATGATAGATAAGACGATGTTCAAACCAAGATAAGCTTATTTTTATAAATATTTCCCCCGACCAAAGGACGGCCTTACTTATTTAATAGTCCGTCCTTCACAAAAATAGACCGTCAAGGACAGTGGGAAGGCTATGTTTTATACACTGACTTCAGCATAGTCAATTCTACAGATACCAATAAGAGTGATACTATTAGCAAAGCAACTAATCACCATTCTACCTTAAAAAATGAAATGTGAACTCTTTGGTTTTAGCTACAATACTGAGAGAAAGGCAATGGTTCAAGTCAAGTTTTCCCAGAGGTTTGACTATCTCAATAAACAAACCAAAAACAGCCATTGAACAAAGCTTGGTGCTGTATGTGGTGAACCATTTTCCTAAAAAGACTGACTGACTGACTGAGTTTGGTTTTACGCCGCTTTTAGCAATATTCCAGCAACATCACGGCGGGTGACACCAGAAATAGGCTTCACACATTGTACCCATGTGGGGATTCGAACCTGGGCCTTCGGCGTGACGAGCCAACGCTTTAACCATTAGGCTACCCCACCGCCCCTTTCCTAAAAAGAAATCAATATATTTAACTCCCATACGAATCTGTCATTGAATGTGTGTAGCAACTTCTGAAGCCCCAAAAGAAACTCAAGCAGGCCTTGTAGGGTTTGGTTCCACAGTGCATGTCATTGTTATGATCTTACAGTAGACATAGTGACACATGGCACCAAAGTTAGTTATAGAAAAAGGCCAAATTTCAAGCTCTTTGTGATCCCTAAAACATAAATATCTACATCCTCCTATCCTGATTTCACAATCCTGAGTGAGTGAGTGAGTTTAGTTTTACGCCACACTCAGTAATATTCCAGCTATATGGCGTCGATCTGTAAATAATCGGATCAGGACCAGACAATCCAGGGATCAACAGCATGAACATCAATCTATGCAAATGGGATACGATGACATGTGTTAACCCTGTCAGTGTGCCTGACCACCCGATATCGTTAGTCGCCTCTCAAGACAAGCAATTAATGGATTAATGAAGATCAATTCTAACCCGGATCTTCAAGGGTACATTCCGGAGTGAGTGAGTTTTAGTTTTACGCTGCCTTTAGCAATATTCCAGCAATATTCCAGCAATATCACGGATGGGTACCCATGTGGGAAATCGAAACCGGGTCTTCGCCGTGACGAGCGAATACTTTAACCACTAGGCTACCCCACCGCAGCTCACATTACTGAAGTTTCCACAACTCTGAATTTGCATTTGTACCATGTAATTGTATTAACAATTATTCCAAAATGCCAAGGGATTATGACTGAAAAGAAAGAATATTCCCATAAATATATGCTTACACAGTGATGTAGCTGTTTTTACAGTCTGAGTTGGTTATTGTGAATTGATACCTCTGATTGACTGATCAATATTGTGTAATTTCCATGTTGGAATGTTCACGTAGTGTTTTACAATTTTAGTAAACTTCAGATCAAGAACAATCTACACAATCATGAATGATATTGCCAGCTGTGTCATACAACAGCAATATTTGAAGCAATTTTTAGATTGACGGAACTTGTCTTGATCCGACTTTGGAACTATTTTACTTATATCAGGCATGTCAACTCAATGGAAGAAGGCCCAAGGGAATGTAGGTCATAGTCATAGTATACTGCTGGCCTTGCGACACACCATCAAATATCCTAACTGAGACAAATTGTGGCCAGTACATGGAACAATACTGTTGTCAGTCTGGGTGTCACGCTGTGGCAAGACATCATACAGAGTTTCTGTTTTCTGACAGACACCATCAGGCATCTATTTGTGTGGGAAACAGAACAATTTATAGAACCATGACAATAAATAGACTGACCCAACATTCCACAAATAAGTGTAGAATACAGCCATTCTCAACCTTGGAATCATTTTTCAGAAACCTGCATTCCAGAAGATTTCTGTATGAAAGTACTCTATAGTATACCCATGATTCATACATCATCAAACAAAGTACCATGGATGATTTCACAGTCAAGATCAAAAGGGATTCAAATCCAGCGTGATCTGCTAGTAATATGATCCAGTGTTTTGACTTTCAAGAAGTCCTTGAGTGAATGAGTTTGGTTTTACACTGCTTTTAGCAGTATTCCAGCAATATCACGGCGTGGGACACCAGAAATGGGATTGACACATTGTACCCATGTGGGGAATCAAACCTGGGTCTTCAGCGTGATGAGCGGATGCTTAACAACTAGGCTACCCCACCGCCCAGAAGTCCTTGAGGTTACCTGCTGGAGTATTGGAATCTATGAATGCTCAGAATCTTTGATTTCAAACATCAATGTTATGAGTGAGTGAATGAGTTTAGCACTCAGCAATATTCCATTTTTATGGCGGCGGCGGTCAGTCAATAATTGAGTCTGGACCCGACAATCCAGTGATCAACAGCATGAGCATCGATCTGCGCAATTGGGAACCAATGACATGTGTCAACCAAGTCAGCGTGCCTGACCACCCGATCCCGGTACTAACTGTAACATACAATTCGAGTCCACCCCTAAAGAAATACTCTGGTCCACAGACGTTTCGTACCAGAATGCAATTCACTGTGACATACTCTAGTGACAGGAAACTAATGTCTGGAAGCCCTTCAGTTGGCCTCAGTGGTGACCTATCTCTAGATGTAATGAAGTCATGTATGTGCTCCTTGTGCGGAAGCCAACTGCACAGTACCTGCAGCTTTCTCCGACATCTGTATCCTAGCCTCGGCCTCTCTCTCTGCTGACTGTGGACCTGGATTGTCTTCAGTTTACACTCGGCCAGGGTCAGGCTTTCCCTCAGCTGTGAGAAAACAAACTTACTTGTTATGTCTTCATAATTCTACTTTCTGAGTTTTGTCCATGCTGAGAAAACAAACATTCTGAAATACCCATTTTTTAAGCTTCCTCTCGTCTTGAATAAAAACAAGCATTGTCTCTAAGGTGACATAATCCCCCGCCGCAAATTATCAAATCAAACTTATAAAGTAATGAAAGTTTAAGTTAAATGTAAACAAAAACATGACCAGTCAACCTCTCTTGATGTCTTGCTCTTTAGGTGTTCAAACACACACATATTTTCAAGACTGACTTTGACATGAATGCCATAGTGTATGAAATATGCAAAAATAGTACTAAAGAAATTGCTTTTTGAAAAACATTTAAGGGAAGTCTTGAAAGTCTTTGAAGAAGATCCAGTGAACTGTTTTTGAAATATCTTGCTGACAATTCAGGTTAACATGCTGAAATCTTCAAAGTGTCTCTGTGACCTTGAAAATTAAGTGAAGGTCACCAAAATCGACTGGGCCCTGCGCCTTCCCTAGATAAAGCTTTGTAATCAATATGAAGAAAATCCAGTGAACGGTTCATGAGTTAGCTTAATATGCAGGTTTACATGCTGAAATCTTCAAAGTGTCTCTGTGACCTTGAAAATTAAGTGAAGGTCACCAAAATCGACTGGGCCCTGCGCCTTCCCTAGATAAAGCTTTGTAATCAATATGAAGAAAATCCAGTGAACGGTTCATGAGTTAGCTTAATATGCAGGTTTACATGCTGAAATCTTCAAAGTGTCTCTGTGACCTTGAAAATTAAGTGAAGGTCACCAAAATCGACTTGGCCCTGAGCCTTCCCTAGATAAAGCTTGGTTTTAAATATGAAGAAAATCCCGGGAACGGTTCTTAAGATAGCTTAACATGCAGGTAAAACGTTAAAGTCCCCTTGTGACCTTGAAATTAAGGTCAAGGTAACCAAACCTGACTTGGACCTTTCTTATACTGTGATGAACCTAGGTACCAATTATGAAAAGAATCTAGTGAACGGTTCTTAAGATATTCCAATTCGTACAATTCATACGGACGGACGGAGCCTAATACTATATCCCCCGCTTCGCGCTAAACGCTCGGTGGGGGATAATGATAACAGAAACAAAAATGAGGCTAGGATAAAAGAAACAAAAACATTTACATATTAAAAACAAATCTCTACTAAAAGCAAAGCATATTGTACGATCTAATTGTATCAAAAGCTTGTGTTCGTAAATCACTATCAAATGGTCATGATAGTAGGTGTTTTTGAAAAAATGAGAGGGCCTATCCAGCACAAATACTGTTCTGATAATTCTACTTTTTAGGTTTTTCTATCCTGTGTAATAAATAAACTTACTCTTCATAATCAGATAATTCAATTTTTTACAGACAACATTTGACATGTCATACAAAAAAAATGTGAAAACCATGACAGTGACAAACCTCAGTGATGATTTTTATGGAGAAGCATGTACAATGTGAATGAACCCCCAATATGTGTACAAAGTAAGTGCCCCCCTGCATGTCATGTACAAAATCAATGACCCCATCCCCCACCCATAATTTTTAAGCATATTTCTTTAAATTTCATTATGTACTAAATTGTTGACCCCTACTACCTCCCCAAAACAAAGTAGGTGACCCCCCTTAAAATCATCATCACCCACCATAGTCTTAAATTAATCAGAAAATTTCTTGAATGTCATGACTGAAGTAGTCAAATTTCAAAAGAAGTAGGTCACAGGGACCAACTGGCAAATGATAAGTTGGTATCCAAATTAGAAATCATGAAAAAAACAATTCAGATTCACTCTGAAAGACCTTTCAATGACCTTGAACTGATGGAGGTCATTCAAAACATTCTGAACGAACCTCAAAGAGAAGAAGGTGTCATGATGACCAACTGGAAAATGATATGTTTGAACCATGACCTAGAACTGAATTGTGATCACTCAAACCATTCTGAGCCAAAGCACAACACTGACAATGGTTTTACCTTCTCATTGAGCAGCCTCTGAGCTTCTACCTCAGCAGACAAACGCATTTTAACTTGAGTTGAGTAAGTTACAGTAGGTGGTAGCACCGGCACACTTGGGTGCATCCCAGGGTGACCTTCATGACCTCCAACACTCATGTACATAGGCTGGAACTCAGACGGAGCTGGAAATCTCCTGGTCCTGGAAGCCCCAAGATCATTGGCTGCAGACGCATGTTGGGCATGTGGAAGTTGAAACCCAGAGCTTTGGTTACTTGCATCTTTCTCTTCCGTTGATACAAATCCAGATTCATTACTCGAAGACATGGCTGTCTTATCAGGGGTGATGGTCTTCTCGAGGGGTGATGAGGGCCCTCGGTGATGACTGAAGTGAGTGTTGAAGGGAACAGACCCTGGAAGTGACCGGAAAACTGTGGGCGGAAGTTGATCAGAGGACTGGTACAGAACAGGGGATGAGGAGCTCATGTAGCGACAGAAAGGCAGGTTGGTGACAGGTCTCCCATGTGAATCATGTGAGTATACAGGGAGGTTGGTGCTGTAGATTGGGGCTGGAGGCAACACTGGGTAAGTAGACACAGTGTTGTTGGAAGGTTCGTGTATAGGTCTCTGGATCTGTCGTCTCATGCCTGCAGGGTCTCGCTGAGGGTCAAAGTCAGATGTATCACTGATGGAGTGTCTACGTATGTCAGCACCTTTAAGCTGGGTGGTTCTAGTATTGTTGAAATCTACAAAAGAAACAAAGCACTGTGCTGTATTATAAAATGGTTGTCCTGATTCTTTATAGTGATGACATAAACAAAACCAGATAAATCTTATATTTAACTTGAAGATAGATTTTCATTTCATATGTTTTAATTATAAAAACATAACAATTGACCTCACAATGCCACTTGCAGCAGATCACAATTTTAGATCATTCCCAAACCTTCTTAGATGCAGACAATGGATGCAAACAAGATTTGTGACTGCATCACCCATAATATACTCCTCAACACTTGCTAAGGACCACACCTTTGACTAAATGTGACTAATTTGGTCCTTAGCATATCACTTTAATGAAATGTAGAGTACTATTACAGATACTTCAACACAGAAATACTTAACATTCTTTGGATTGAAATATTTATGTCATCAAAGCTAAATAATGAGTAAATAATGTCATCAATGGTTATGATGACAACTCTCTTGCTCTAAAAAAGAATCTATGCCTACCGAGACGACAGCGAACATCCACTGGTTCTCTGAGATTCTCTTCTCTTTCGCCCTTCTTCTCACATGCCTCATCTTCCCGGTTGTCCAGTCGAGCAAACTGTTCTGCCAGCTCATCACTACAATACAAGAAAACAGTGGAGATTCCAAGAAGGTTCTCTGGCAAGACAAACTGAAGCCTTTTCCAAGTGTGTCATTTAACACTGCTCACAGCAATATTCCAGCAGTCTGAATTACGAAGGCTGGACCTGACAAAGAGTGACTGATATAATGAGCAACCATTCTCATGCTTGTGCGTGCAGGAACATTATCAACAATGTCAACAACACTGACAATTCAATACATTGTAGGTCCTATACCACAAACATGAGTTGTTGGGGACCAGTTCTAATCCAGAATGATCGATTGGCCTTATCTAATGGCCTACTTGCAACCCACCTCATCAAGACTAAGCACCATTGGCCAGCATGCCTGCTGCAAGTTTTCCATACCTCTTAAACTCCAATGTAATGGTTCCAAAATTATTAAGTTCCATTTCACATATGCTGAATGAAAAAGGATCATAGATATGTTTGGGAAGGATATTTTTTCCCAAGTGAAGACTGATCACACAATTTCACCAAAAATGTAAAACATTCATGATCCTTAAATATTCTTGATCAGCATATATGCCTGTCCTTGTTTAAGTTGGATTCTTAAAACAATCATGTCAATGTATATATTGTCTTGACAATGAGTGAGCTTGGCTTTACGCATTGTGCCCATGTGGGGAATCGAACCCAGGTCTTTGGCGTGACGAGCCAACGCTTTAACCACTAGGCTACCCCACCGCCCCGTATGGACAATGAGTGTTCTAGTGAAGTATGATGACACATTTGTGCATTTGTATCCTCAAAGGTCTTTGGTTCCATGCACTGCACATGAGAATGTCCTACTGTGTGGAAGCCTTGTATTTCAGTAGAACATATATTTTACATTACAGGAAAATGGGAACACTGAATGGCAGTTGCATGTAGGTAGTATTTGATAGATGGTTGATCACAAGTGTCTGTCTTGTCCTTGTGTGTGTAGGACATATAGCAGTGGCACGGAGGGAGTTATTGACCAGGTAATAGAAACAGCTCTGAGATGCTTGGTCTGTCAGGTGACACTAGCTATATGGCACATTGACTATTAGCTGTCAAAACTTGCTCAATGGCTTAGACAGCAGCATCTTAATGTAGACACTGTTTGTCCATGGCACCAGCTGATCAACTGATGAAATAAGAACACACCATGTGCCCCAAATCAGTCTGTAACATTTTAGTTTTTCCCTCTGCCTCCAGTCTGTAATGTCTTTATTTTGTTTTCTCCTTTCATCAAATGCTTCACTTACAAAATTAAATCCCTCATGTTCTTGATGATAAATAAAATTTGTCTGCCAGTTGCCTACCTTTGATAGAAATGACAAATGATTCAAACACTGAAACATCCACATTGGCCATATTGATTGTCATATTGTGCCTAAGCACTGACTTGCTGCCAAATTAAGGACAAATCAAATATGACAGCAAAGGGAATGCATACAAATATGCTGTATACATGCCCCAGTGTGGTTCCAGGTTAGAATATAGGTCCTAGCAACCTTGGCTTATCATGGTAGTTACAAAACAATTCTTGGTGACCTGGTTGACTGAATGTCATCACATCCCAATCACTGGATATCTAATCCAGGGTTGAATAGTTATAGACCCCTGTTATCCATCTGAAAAACTGCAGGATGACAAACATGCAACATGATTGGTTCCTG